TTGCATGTGCCTTGCTGGGATTTAGTAAAGGAGATATGAATCAATATTTTAGAAACATTGCAAAAGTCAAATTCGACCTTGACGGGCCGTTATGACCAGGTTTCATTTTGTAGGGCCATATTCCCCCAAGTTACCCTATACAATATCATCTACTTTGCACAGGTCGTGACAATAATGTATTTCTTAGATGTATTGTAATCGACAGTGGCGAAACCTCGAGTCAGTATCCAGATGGCCCTGCCCACACAGCTCAGTGATATCCCTGGGATGTCCCCAACCGGACGACTTGTCCCGTGGTCTTTATAGGATATCCTGAAGACATCTTCTTTCGGACGGTTTCGGACATCTCGCAAGGGATGTCTTTGAGATCTCTTTTAGACATCTTTTAGACATCTGTCGGTATCTTAGAGATATCCCTTTCGGGATATCTTGAAGACATCTTCAGTCGGATGTTTCTGGATATCTCGAGGAGAATGTCTTCGGGACATCTTAGGGATGTCTTTAGGGATCTTCAGTGCTCTTTGTCGCCTTCAGTCAGGTGCATACCTTCGACGGTAGATGTCTCCCGGGGGCCCTTATCTGCAACCTCAGATCTTTTCTATCAAATTAATCTACTTGATTTTTCTTGAGGATTAGTAAGGATATTCGTACCGTACATCAAGAAAACTGCCACTAGGGAAAGTGAAAAAATTGCGGTCCGAATTTAAATTTATTCCGCTAGATTCTGTTTAATAGTGTCTGATCGGTATGTCTGGTTACAACTATCTTGGTTGGAGGCCTGAGCCCATAATTTTTAAAATGGGTAAGGCTAAATTATCTCGTACATAATCCCTCGTGTAAAGGTGCTAAATTTCGTCCCTTGGAGATGGGTCTCCTATGATGGGCCCCTTTAGGAACACGATTTTCTTCCCCAAGAATCGTCGCTCTTCAATCGGTCGAGAACTTAAGATTAGGTGTTCCTAAATCAATTAGAGACATTTTCCTAATAATAGGTTCTCCAGTGCGGATAGGAAATGAGTTCATTGCGGATAGGAAGACGCCTGCAAGTACTACCTGGGACTTTTCACTTGTCCCTTGGCGTTATCTCTGGGACATCCTTCGGATATACTTTTGCTGCCAGAAAGAGACTTCCTTGGGATGTCTTTGCGCCCAGACATTTTGACATCCCTGAGATGTCCCCACGAGTAATGTCCGGGATGTGTTAAAAAAGTTCTTCAAGAAAGGGACGTCCTTGAGATGTCGTTGCGACATTTTGACAAACCTAAGATGTCCCTAGAAGTCATCTCAGGGACCTCTCGCTTGTCCCAAGGGGATATCTCTGGGATATCTCAGGAATATACTTGTGCTGTGTGGGTAGGTCCTCTATAGCAAGAACCAGGTCATGACACAAATCGCAGCTGGCACCAGGGTCATTCCAGCTAAAAATAGAAATAAGCGAGTAATGCTTTTCATTTATAATCCTATTTCGACGACGACATAATCTCATTGAGAGCTGGAATTGGAGTGTAAGCTCTGACCCCAAGGGGAATCATAACCGCATTTGTTTCCAGGAAGAGAAGGAAAGCCTTTCCTGGCACGTAAAATTGATTCTCGGCAAATTCTGAGGCGAGGTACTCGACGAATCGCAATCCGATGAACGAAGGCGGGCACGCTTAAATCCATGGCGTGAAATGATGTATTGTTGCATTTATATTGCAGTGTAAAAACTTTTTTGGGGGACTCAGAATCATCCCGAAATGTCGGATCGTTGCAGTGACTGAAGTTTGGTTCCAAAGCAAGGAGTCGAAGAGTGTAACGTTTATTACTAAACGTGTAACGTTCGATACTCTTTCGCGAGCTGCCTGAGAATAAGTGAATTCCTGCAAATCTCTGTTGACAGTTTCAGATAATCTCCTATACAATAACAGCAAGGAACTCTTTGTATATCCTGCATTTATTGTGGGAAAAAATTGAATCCAGGTGCAATGCACATAAGGTCAAGTCCATTTTATATGACGTTCATTATCTTAGTTTGCGGAGTACTTGCGATTCGGGAATGGTCAAATGACTGCAATCTGAGGCTTCGTCTTGATTATATTTATTTTTTCCTATTTTCAGTGACCAGTTACTTTCGCATGTAGCTTATAATTAGGGAGTGAATTTTTACGCAAATGCATATTTTTTCTGCAAACTCAAAGGAGCATGCAACCGATCAAGACAGGATATGTCCTATGGGTAGAGGCAGCTATTTATGCCATTTAAAAAACGGATAAAAATGCATATTTTGCATTTTTCTCAGAATGTGTTTATTTGTGCATGTTTTTGCATATTTTACCCTTTTGTAAATAAGGTTTTCCAGGAAAATGAGTTTTTTTTTATGAGCAACCAATTAAAATTTCCAGCAGTCATGTGCTGTGACCAGTGGCACAGCAAAGTTGGGAGGGAGCCTGGAGGCAAGGGGAGAGGGAGCCTAAATGCATCCGCGCCCCCCCCCCCCCCCCCCCCCCC